CTGGGACTCAGCTCCCCTCCCACAGGCACCAGGCACTCACAGGCATCTGGCTGGTCACGGAAGGGGCAGAGTTTCCTCCGTGGGCTGTCGTGGTGGGAGTAGGAGGCCTGGGGCAGCAGAGCGTGATGGTCAGAGCAGGATATGCCCCCCCCATGCGAGGGCAAAGGAGCTCTGGTGGCTGTAGGGGAGGGCAACCCACCTCAATGCACAGGCAGGGCACCAGGAACTCATAGGGCAGTGAGATGTGGTGGCCTCCTGGCACCAGCACCTGCAACATGGAGAGAGCATCAGCTGGCAGGGATTGTGTCCCCCGGTCTGGGACGAGGTGTAGGGGGGCAGAGCCATTACCTGCTGGTGGAAGGGCCGGGGCAGCTCCTCACACTCCAGGGCCAGCTGGTGGCACAGCCGCACCAGGAGGGCAGGACCCGCGGGCACCCACACCTCAATGGCCCGCACCTCAGGGACCCACGCGTGGGTGAAGACAGGCCCTGCAGAGCAGGCAGGGGTCAGCTGGCACCGGCGTCCCCCCAGGACACCTCCCAAGCCCCTCAGTCTCACCGGGTGGCTCAGCGGTGACCATATGGCTGCAGCTTAGGGCCAAGCCCCGATCTGGGATGGTGCGAAGGGAGACGAGGACTCGCCGGCCGCTCTCTGCCGGGAAGCAGTCGAACTGCACCTGCCACTGCGGGGAGCGGGGGCTCAGCGGGGGGACGCGGGGCCGCGGTGTGCCCGCTCCTCCCCGCTGCAGACTCACCGCTGAGCTGCCCAGCTCCCGGCGTCGCTGCCAAACGTGCAGCCAGCCAGCCCGGTTGGAGCCCAGCTCCAGGAAGGTGAGCTGCAGTCCCCGGACACCGCCGAGCTCTGCGAGAAAGCGGCGTGGGGTGGTGACACGGGTGGGGGGCCTGGCTGTGCGTCCCCAGCCGCGGGGATGCCCGGCCTCGCCAACCCCGCCCGTACCTGAGGTGGGCAGGGCCAGGCGCACCCGCAGGCAGGGCTGGCAGGGCTGCGCGGGCAGGCACAGCCGGGCACGGCTCAGCGACAGCGCGGGCGGCTCCAGCGGCGGCCCGGGGCGGGCAGGGCGGCGGCAGCGGGGGCGGCTCAGCGTCCTGTCGGCTGCAGGGCGAGAGCAGACGGGGGCGGCCGTGCGCCGGGGGTCCCGCGGGCAGCAGGAGCCCCGGGGACTGGGAGTGCTTGGAAGGGGGAGCGCCCCGGGGAGTCCCGGGGAGGTGTAGTCGGAAGGGAGGTGCCCCGGGGATCCAGAGTCCTGACAAACCGGGAGCCTCGACGATTCAGAGTCCTCGGAAGAGGGAATCCTTGGGGTTCGGGAGTGCTGGGAAACAGGGAGCCCCGGGGTCTTTGGAAAGGGGGAGCCCCAGGAGCCAGGAAGTTTCGGGGAACGGGAGTCCTCGGAAGCGGGGAGCCCGGTGCCCCGGAAACCTGTAGCGCCCCACCCCCGATCCCCACTCTCCAGGACCCAGCAGCCGCGGGCAGGGGATGCCCCGCCATCCCGCGCAGCCCGGAGCCGGTGTGGCCGGGCAGGAGCAGCCCGGCTGACAGCCCTGCCCCGCCGCTACTCACCGGTGGCCCGGCACTCCTGCAAGCAAAGAGACGGGGGTGAGCGCGGCGCCGCCCGCCCCACCTTCCCCGCCACCTCCCTTCCCCGGCGCTCACGAAGTTGGCGGAGACGCGGAGGCGGGTCACGGCGGCCCCGGTCCCGGACGGCAGCGGCGGCAGCAGCAGCAGCGCGGCGGCAGCGGCGAGCAGCACCGGGTGCCCCATGGCCGAGCGCCGGCGCTCCCGCCCCGGGCCGGCCCCGCCGCATTCCTGCACCGGCACGTGCGGCCCCGCCGGCCCCCCCGCGCCAGGCGGCGCTTCCTGCGGCGCAGACACGCGTGGGAGCGCGGACGGTGCTTTATTTCCACAGAGCAACACGCGGAGGAAGGGGCACGCACCCCAGGGACCCCACAAGGCCCCAGCCCTCGGGGGGTCCCCCTTGCATGCGAGCCCGGGGCCGTGGTGTGGCTCAGACACCCACGCCGTGGTTCCGAGGATCCCCCACCCACCGGAGCTGCGCCAGCGCCGCCCCACAGGACTGAACTGCAGAGCTGCAGCCCCTCACGGAGCCCACCTATCCCCGCTCATTTCTTCTTCTTCTCCTGCGTGCTAGTGAACCAGGAGTCCAGCAGCTTCTTGCTGTAGTAGAGCTGCCAGCCATGCACCTGCGCGGCCACCACCACCACCAGGTACATGACCGAGACGGCCGAGAAGCCGAAGATGAAGCGGTAAGCTTTGCCGTGGCGGTACAGCTGCTGCGCCATGGGGAACATCTCCATGGCCCCGTAGATGAGCGGAGCGATGGAGAAGAGGCCGGTGCTGATCATGGAGAGTACCAGGTAGCTGATGTTGTTGCGGGGGAAGGACAGGAGGCCCAGGAGGGAGGGCAGGATGCTCAGCAGGTAGGGATACTCCCACTGGTAGGGCATGGCCACCTGGTCGTGGGGCAGCAGCTTGAGGTGCCCCACGACCATCTGGGCCAGGAGCAGCAGCCAGATGACCACATGCGTGTAGATCAGCTTCTTGATCTCCGACTTGAGCGTCACGCTGGGGAGAGAGTGCGGGGCCATCAGGGCCTGCCGGGCTCGCGTGTCCCCCCGGAATCCCGGGGAAGGGGGACACCTACCTCATCTGGTAGTGCGAGGCCACGCGCTCCCGGTGCTGGAAGTCGCTGCCGTCGGTGCCGGCGGCGCGGGGACCCCCTCGGGAGGCCATGGCGCTGTCCTGGGGAGACGCGGCGTCAGACGGGGCCGCGCTCCCCGCCCGCCTCCCCGGCGCAGCCCCGGCACCAGCCCCCCGGGCCTCCCTCCCACAGCCCCGGCGCTCCCTCCCCGTGTCCGCCCGGCCCTCCGGGACATCCCCGCGGTGATCCCCGGGGGTGTCACCCGCGGCCCGCCGCTCCCCGCCGTGCCGCACCTGCGGGCGGGACCCTGTGCCCGCGCTTCCGCCGCTCGATGGCCGCGGCCGCCCGCTCCGGATGCCGGGGGCGCCGNCCATGGCGGGCAGCGGGAGCGCCGCCGCCGCCGCGGCGGGGTCAGCGGGGCAGGGGGGGTTCGTGGGGCGCGTTATGTGCGGGTGTGTGTGCGCACATGGGGTCTGTGCCCAGGGGTGTGCCGGCGCCTGGAGGGGCACAGGCGTGGCGGCTGCCGGGAGCCCGCTGGGGACGGCACGCGTGGGTGCTCAGGGGCTGTGAGGGTTGTGGGGCTGGGGATGTACCTGTGGGGCCGGGGAAGTATGAGGGTGTGGAGAGGAGGGCGGACAGTGGTGGGTGAGATTTATGGGCACGCAGAGTGGGGTGCTGAGGGAAGCCCCCCTGTGTCCCCCTGCCCACTGCATCCCCTGCAGGTGGAGGCGGCTGCTGGGCCCCAAGGAGACGCTGAAGCTGTTGGAGGGCTCCGTGGTGCACCGGGAAGGTACCTGCGACAGGGGACAATGGGGGCAGGGGACACGGTGAGGGAGGTACATCCTGACCAGCCTTCCCCTCGCTAGGAGCCCTGCTGGCACTGAGCAAGCCCCCCGGCCTCCCCGTTCTGGGTGAGTACAGGACAGTGGGGGGGCTGCAGGGGTGGGGGTGTCTGCGTGGGGGGCTCACAGGTGCTGAGCTGCCACATCTCCCCAGGGCGTCCTGGGGACCTGAGCCTGGACGCGCTGCTGCCGGCACTGAGACAACGCCTGGGCCTCTCTGCTGAGCTCCACGTGGTGAAGGCTCCTGCCAGGTGTGTAGGGGGGTTCAGGCTGGGGGTCCTGGTGTGGAGCTGGGGCTGCCTTTCCCCCTCCAGGTTTCAAGCAGTCATGTCCCACAGGGAGTATTCTGGCCTTGTCCTCCTGTCCAGCTGCTACCACACCACTAAGAAACTCCAACAGTTCTTCACCAATGCTCGTGTGAGAGGCCAGTACCCTGCCACATATCGGTGAGTCCTTGGGACCCTGCCATGCTTGGCATGGGGGTCCTGTCCCCTTCTCACCACCTTACCCTGCAGTGCCATCACCGTGGGAGTCCCGGCAGAGGTGGAGGGCGAAATCTCCACGGGGCTGTGCTGGCAGCAGCAGGGGGACAGAGCCATGGTAAGGGGGTGCCAGTGGGATGGGGGCACAGGGGATAGCCCAGGAGTGCTGAGGGCTGTGCTCTGCAGGTGGTGCCAGTCCCGGCCCCAGGACGCCGCAGCCTGGCCAGGAAGGAGGTGAAGAGCACCCTGACACGCTACCGGGTGCTGCGTGCCCTGGGGGGCTGTGCCCTCCTCCAGCTCCAGCCCAGGACGGGTGAGTGGCCTCCCAGCACCTCTGCCACCCCAGGTATGCTTCCTGACCCCTGCAATCTCACTTTTGCCCCGCTCCTCCCCAGCCTTCCCAGAACAGCTCCAGGTGCACCTGACACAGCTGCTGTGCCCGGCCCTGGGTGACCATAAGCACTCCTCCCGCGTGGGCAGGGTGCTGGGAGAGCCCTTCTTCCTGACCCTGGAGACTGCCCCGCCCCAAACACAGGTACGTGGCCAGGGTGGAGCTGGGTGGGGCATCCAGCACAGCCCTCAGAGATCCCCCTGAGCTGCCCTCTCACATTGCAGGTACTGGACGAGGAGTTGCTGTCCCGGCTGGGGCTTTCTCCACGGCAGCTCCATCACCTCCCACTGCACATCCACCTGCAGGAGCTAGTGCTGCCCGAGGGCCCCCTCTGTGCCCCACCACCACCCTACTTCCTGCACACGCTGCGCTGTCTGGGGCTGCCTGAGGACTAGGAGCCCTAGTGCTGCGGGGGGACACCCACTCCACCCTTCTGCTCTCTGCCACCCCATTAAAATCCCCCCCTGTTGGGGGAGCCAACAGGATCCCACCCTGTTAGAATGCAGCAGTGTCATCACCCACCGCAGCTCTGTCTGGCAGGGGCAACCACAGGCAGGAGCAGAGGCAGCTTTTCCTGCCTGCTGTCTGCCCTGGCAGCCCCAGTTCCCACCCACAGCCCCATCCCAGGGGCAGTCCTAGCCCTCCCCACAGCTCTCACACAGAAGGTCTGGGACAGACTCCTTGTCACAGAATTATATTAAAGCGCGGGAGGAGCTGGGTACCACGGCACAGCAGTGAGAGCTCTTTGGGATCAGAGGCAGCCAGCATTGGCTCAGCAAGGACAGGCAGGGAGCTGTCCACGCCTGGGGGTGTCTCAGTGTCCCAAGTTTTCTGCCTCCCATTGGGAGCTGCTGTGTCCTTGTGCTCCAGGCACGGGGTCCTGGTGCTCTGTGCAGACAGAGGTTGTTTCAGGGGCTTGGCATGGGGTAAGGAGCGTGCAGAACCCTGGGCTAGCCAGGGGTTTCTGGGGGTTCCCCGGGGTGGTGGCATTGGCACCCAATCCAGGGAACAGCCAGTGATCTGGGGCAGGTGACCGAGCCGTGGCAGCCCCTGCCTCCCAGCAGAGGAGCCCCGAGGCTTCGGTAGTGCTGGGGGGTCAGAGCTGGTGGAAGGGCAGTGGCTTTGTTGCTCCAGAGGAGGCAGCTTCTTTGCTGCTACTCTGGGCTGGGTCCCCTGGCTGGTTCTGCCCCTTGAGCACACAGAGGACTTGGAGGCACTGGGCACCATGGCAGGAGATCGATGCCGTGCCCTCCGGGGCACCTGGGTGGTTCTGCCCCTGGGGGACACAGAGGACGTGGAGGAACTGGGCACCACGGCAGGAGATCGATGCCGTGCCCTCCGGGGCACCTGGCTGGCTCTGCCCCCTGGGGACAGGGCGAGCTTGGGGACACGGGGCACAGTGGTGGGGAATTGACGCTGTGCTCGCTTGCGTACACGGGTGGCTCTGGCCCCTGGGGACACAGAGAGCTTGGGGACACGGGGCACAGTGGTGGGGAATGGATCCCATGCTCGCTTGGCTACATGGGTGGCTCTGGGCCGTGGAGACACGGGGTCATGGAGAGTATTGGCCACAGGGGTGGGGGGCTTGTCCTGGGCTTCCTCTTGTGCTGACTGGAGGTTCTTCAGGGAACAGCCTTTGACCATCAGCTTCACACGTGCTGACAGAGGCTTGGGCACAGCTGCCTGCAGGGAGACAGCACATAATGGGGGACTCAGAGTGGCTGGGGGGGGGGGGGGGCCCCCATCCCCCCAGCCTACCTCCTTGTAGATGAGCTCAAAGGCTCCAATGGAGCAGGTGGGGTTGTCCTTGCGGTCGAGCACGAGGCACAGCGTGTCCCGCTGGACATTGGCACAGAGCCGTCGGGTCACTGCCGAGGAGGGGCTCATGGTGGGGCAGGAGTTGATCTCCAGCAGCCAGGGCTGGCAGTTCTCCCCGACAACAAAGTCTGCCCCATAGAGCTCGAAGTTGCCCTTGCGGAAGCGCACCCGGTCCCGGGCGCTGCGCAGAGAGTTCAGGATCGCCGCCTTCATGCCGGGCACCAGCACCTGGTGCCAAGCATCCGCCTGCCCCAGCTGTGCCAGGTACTCCTGGAACTGCTTGTTTGACCAGATCTTGTCGGGGGGCACACGGGGGTCCTGGTCTGGTGACGTCTTGTACCACTTCTGGACGGAGACGTTGCAGAGGTGCCTGGCACTAGGGCAGGGAGAGGGGCTGGGTCAGGGGGTGCCAGGGTGCTGGGGTGTGGGGAGCCAGGCTGGCGGCACTCACCGCTCCAGGTGATGCAGGGAGAAGGGCCGGGAGCAGAAGCGCAGGTAGCAGTCTTGGTAGAACCAGACGGTCAGTGGCTTCCAGTCAGTCACCACAAACCACTGCCGGATGTCGAATTTGGTGCCGAAAATGGTCAGCAGCCGCTCCACGTACTTCTGCACCACCCATCTGCCCACCTGCACCGAGGGTGCTGTGCAGCTCCATGCCAGCTGCAGCATCTCCTCCAGCCGCGTCATGCAGATGATGCCTGGGAAACACAGTCATAGTGGGACCCCTCCTAACTGGGGAGCCTCTGTGTGCTCCCCACTTCCCCCAGCCTTACCCCTGCCTTGGGATTCAGCGCCAGGCTTGAGGATCCAGACGTTGAGCTTGCCCTCCATGTCGAGCTGGGGCAACTTCTCTGCCAGGCTGTGCAGCAGGTTCTGGCACTCCTTCCGCTGCTGCCTGGTCAGCACCAGCCCTGCCCCCTCGCTGTGGGGGGAAGGGGGCTCAGCAGCAGCCCTGCCGTGGTGCCCCGTCCCCCCATCCTACTCAGCACTCACTGTGCCACATGGTAGTATTGCTGCAGGAAGTGGTCCCAGTCGATGCATGTCCTGCAGGGGGACGGGGTGTTCCTGTCGATGTCCTCATGGTGCAGAACACCCAGGTGCTGCTTACAGACCTCCAGGGCTTCCTCCACCAGCTCAGGGTACAGGGGGGAGCCTGGGCATGCTGTGGAATGCTTGGGGTGAGAGATGTGACTCCTGTGCCAGCTTTGGGGCCAGACCTCCCTGTGGCATGGGTGGCTTTGGGTGCATGGGGATGAGGTTGGGAGCAGAGCACCAATAAGCTGGGCTAGCAGGAAGGCGTGGGGGATCCCAGGCCACAGCCATGGGCAGAGGCTGTGCCTCCAAGCTCAGCCATCAGTTGTCCCTATCTCTGTACTCTCTGCCATCATCCCCAGGCACAGCTCCATGTACTCACCTTCCCCTGTGGCAGAATTTGGGACCTGCTCAGTCCTCACTGGCCTGTCCCCAGCCTCCTCCAGGGCCAGTTTGAGCAGGCTGCGTGCTGCTGTCAGGCGGAAATCCTCTGCAAGAGGGAGGCATCATCCCCAGCCAGTCCTGCACAGGACAGTGGAGCAGTGGGAGCACAAGGAGGGACAGGAGGGCAACATCTTTCAGCTCACCAATGAAAGCTTCTCGATCATCTATGGTCCCCAGCCGGTAGCACCGGGGGAAGAAAGTGTTGGGGTCAGCTTGCTCGATCCACGGCAGGTTTTGCAGGCTGAGGCACAGCCCCTCCTGTTCAGAGGAAGTTGTCAGTCCCTACTGGACCCCATCCCTGTCCCCCAGGGCTCCAGCCTCCCACCTTGGTGGTGAACGCGTCCACCTGGCCGTAGTGGTTCAGCACGCTGTCCTCCTGCAGCAGCTGACGGTCAACGGCCTCGAGGAAGTTGGTCCAGATGAAGTTTGGCAGCTGGTCCCGTGCCAGGTAGGACTGGCGGAGGGAGGAAGCCAGGGTGGGACACAGAGCCCCCACCCTTGTCCCCTGTCCAAGGCCGTGCCCATGCCCGGGGCAGTGGCAGGGCTCAGCCCCAGCCCTCTCTGCTAACCATGAGGTCGTGGATGCCGTTGGGGTCGTCATCACACTGCTCTTCCTCCTTCTCAGCAGGTAGCCACGGGTAGTGCAGGGGGTCTGGGGTCCCCAGAAAAGGCTGTGCCCCACGAGGGTGCAGCAGCACCTCCCTCTGCCTGCCACCGCCATCAGCTGGCCCCGCCTGCAGCCGCTGCCTGCTCTGGTCCCCGCAGTGCTGCTCCAGCTGCCGGCCCGGGCGCGGCACAGTGACCTTCCTCTCCACCCAGCCCCGCGCGCGCAGCAGGCGGCGGATGACGGGGTAGGGGCCCTGCACCATGAAGATCTTCTTCTCCTGTGCAGACACCAGTGGGCTCAGCCCGCCCCAGTCCTGGTTCCGCTGGCTCAGCTCTCCTGAGCCAGAAATGCAGTAAATGCGAGCAGGTGGCATTGGAGGGGTGTGAAATCAGGTCCCTCACCTTAATGGCCATCTCCACATACAGCTTGGCCTTCTTGAGCTGCTCAAGGTTAAGCAAGCGCTGGCAGCCAACCTGGTGGCTGGTGGTGGTGGCTGCTGAGTGCCCTGTGAGGACAGCCCTGTCTGAGCCACTGTGCCCACGTGCCACAGGGCAGGCACGGAGAGGTAGAAAGCACTGACCTGCCTGCCTCTGACCTGACCTTCGGGCCCTTGAAAGGGTGGTCTCTGACCTGCTGAGCCTTGTGCCAGTGTCCCAGCTGCCCCGCACAGTCCCAGGGTGCCCCACTGTGCCCTTGTCCCCAGCCTCCTGGGCCAGGGGGTGGCTGAAGTGTACCCTGCTCAAGTGCTGTCCCTGTCTGGGGGGCTGTGTGCCTGCAGTGCTGCTCTCTGGGTCACATTGTCCCATGGCAGCCTGAGGAGAGCTGTGGGTGGCTCTTCCTCCTCTGTGCCAAGCAGGTTGGCCTATTCCCCTGTTCTGCTGGGGATTTAAGTCGGAGTCCAGCACAGGACATGGCTCTAAACCCCAGTACCACTCGTGTCAGGATGCAGGATGTGGCTCCCCCAGCCCCAGCACCACTGTGATGTCACGGCTCAGCTCCAGCCATGATGGCTCCACTGCACAGAAGGGGGGGAACACAAACAGCCCCCACCCAAACCTCACACCCTGCCCAAAATCCTTTTGTGCCCCAGAACCCAAGCCCCTTGCTGCCCCCAGGCCGACTTCAAGTCCTTTCATACTCCCCTGACACCCCCCATGGCCCCTCACACGCCATCAGGGCTGACCCCACTGTTTGGTGCTGCTGCACCGTGCCCCTCCAGCTCCATTCCTGCTCCCATCCCATGCCCTCCCCCATCCCCGGCGTGGCCCAGAGCGGCGGGAGGGAGGAGACGGAGGCGGATACAGCAAACAAGACCGTTTAAAAAACAAGACGAGACAGGGGCAGCGGCCGGGGCCGCGCTGCCGCAAGCAGGGGCTGCTCCCGCCCAGCCCAGAGAGGGGCGGGCAGGGCCCGGCCCCGCCCCGCGGTCCTCGAGAAACGGGAGCAGGCACAGGCACAGTGCCCGGCGGGCACAAGCACGGGGGAGCCACGGGGTCCTGCACCACGGCCTAAAACTGGAGAGAAAACACAGCTGTTAGTCCCTGCTTGCAGCCCTCCGAGCACCCTCACCGCCCTCCTGGCACCTGCACGGAGCTGAGCGTGGCCACTGCTCACAGGGATCCGTGCTCAGCTTCTCCCACTGCCTCCCCAGGCACGGCACAGCCCTCTCAGCACCCACCAAAAGGGTCTCATCCCCTAGGGCTGCTGCTGCCACCGAGCAAGCTCTGGGGGTCTCAAAAGCTGGCAAAGGGGATAGGAGTGCCTTTGGCATCCTTTCCTCACTGTCCCCAAGAGGTTCCTTGGGCTGGATGCCACCCTGTCCTCACTAATGGGACAGGGGGACTCTAGGCACAAGGGCCACACTGGCTTTGACCCCACACCCCACTCCAAAATCAGAGACCCCCTCCTCCCGTTTCAGAGGCTCACGTTCTTGAGGAACTCCTCTGCCACGATGCGGGCCCTCGCGTTGACAGAGAGTTTCATCTCACTGATTTCCTTGTCAATCTCCTCCATGAAGTGGATGACAAAGTCCACCAGCTTGTGCTTGTACATCTGCTCCGTGTGGAAGTTTGTGATCAAGAAGCTGATATCATAACCCTGCACAAGAGAGAAGCACCCTGGGGTTTAGCACCCAAACCGGTGGCCTCGCCAGCTCACGCTGGACACGCCCAGGGCCAGGAGCAGAGCCAGGAGCTGTTTGTCACCTCCCTGTCACCTCACCTCCACGGGCTTCCTGCGCAGAATAAAGAAGTTCTCAGCCCTCATCATCATAAAGCGCATGAACTTGTGGCACAAGATCTTCTCGATCTCGTCGGCCTGGAGAGAGAAAAGGGAAGTGAGGCTTGCCCGGGGCGGAGCCGGCAGCCCCTGGCCGCACGCCCCTGACCTGCTTCACGGCGATGCTGACGCGCACGGAGTTAATGGAGCCCTCGATCAGCACCTTCTCCTTCTCGTTCCTGCTGATGATCACCGGCTGCAACAGCAGCTCTTTGCTGCTCCTGCGAGCGGAGGGAGGGCACAGTGACTCAGAAGGAAGCGGGCAAGGGGAGCCGCAGGGATCGCGGGCGTGCGGGGGCAGTGCTGCAGGATGCTCCCGCGTCCCCAGGATGCTCCTCCTCAGGGCAAACGCTCCCTCGGTCCCCGGCCAGACCCCCTTCCTCCTCCCCGCAGCTGCCCGGCTCCCTGCCGTGTCCCTGCGGGCTGGGGGTGGCCAAGGCGCGGCAGGAACGGGCCAGCGGCCCCCAGGGCGGGCAGCCGGGGCTCGGCAGGGCTCTCCGGGTGCTCCCTCCCGCCCCCGTACCTGACTTCCACCTCGGGCTTGTTGTGCCGCTCCACCACCTGCGAGGAGAAGTTCTCCAGGCACAGCGCGGCCTGCAGCGTGGCGCGCACCGCGTTCAGGTACGGGCGCAGCGTGGCAGTCTGCGGGGACACGGCGGCGGCCTCAGACCCCCGAGCGGAGCCCGGCCGTCGGGTCTCGCCCCCCGCCCCTGCCCCAGCCCCCGACCGGAGCCCGCAGCCCCCGCAGCCCCGCTCGCTCGGCCGGGCCCGGTCCCGAGCCTCCCCCGGCTCCCCGCTGCCCCGGCCCCTCACGGGGCGCCCCCCGCCCTACCATGGTGGCAGCGGCGCTCCGGTCCGGCCAGGCGGAAGTGGCTGTTCACCTCTTCCGGGATGCTCGGCACCTCCCACTGCGGCGGGAGGGAGGGGGTGCGGCGGGAGGCTCCCGCCCCGCGGCCTGCCCCCCCCGCGGCACGGAGCCGGGTGGCGGCGGCGAGACTTCGCGCGGCTCCCCCCCGCGCCGCGCCGCGCTTGGTACGGGCCTGTCAGCGCTTCCATATTAGGGAAGGGAGATGGAGGGCGGGCTGGGCCAATCGGCGGCGGCGCGGGGCGCGCGGCGGCCAATGGGCAGCGAGGGGCGGGGCGGGCGCGGGGCCGGAAGGGGCGCCCGGCCCAGACCCGGCCCCGCGGCCTCCGCTGCGCCCGGGGCCGGCCCCGCCTCGCCCGCAGCCCCCGGTGCTCCCCTCCGCTTCCCCCCGGTGATCCCCCGCCGGCTGCCTCGGTGATCCCCCCCGCCGTGTTCCCCCAGCGCCCCGGTGGTTCTCCCCACGCTCCCCTCAGCGCCCCGTGCTCCCCTGCCCCGGCTTCCTCAGAGCCCCGATGCCCCCCGAGCCTCCGTAGCCCCTCGCTCCGCTCCGTCCCCTCCCGGCCTCCCCCGTGCTCCCGGCAGAGCGCACTCGGTGCCCGGTCCCCAGCGCCATGAGCGAGCTGAAGGACTGCCCGCTGCAGTTCCACGACTTCAAGTCGGTGGACCACGTGAAGGTGTGCCCCCGGTACACGGCCGTGCTGGCCCGCTCGGAGGACGATGGCATCGGCATCGAGGAGCTGGACACGCTGCAGCTGGAGCTGGAGACGCTGCTGTCCTCTGCCAGCCGCCGCCTTCGCGTCCTGGAGGCTGAGACACAGGTGCTGGGTCAGGGGCAGGCTGTCCCTCCGCTCCTGCCGCCAAGGGGCTGCCTCTGGTGTGCCCTGCCCTGGGCACAGGATCTCACGGGACACCGCTCTCTTCCAGATCCTGACGGACTGGCAGGACAAGAAGGGCGACCGGCGGTTCCTGAAGCTGAGCAAGGACCACGATGTGGGCACATCCGTAAAACATGGCAAGCCCAAGAAGCAGAAGCTGGAGGGCAAAGGGGGCCACGGGACTGGGCCTGGGCCTGGGCGACCCAAGTCTAAGAACCTGCAGCCCAAGATCCAGGAATACGAGTTCCAGGATGATCCCATTGATGTGCCGCGCATCCCCAAAAACGATGCTCCAAACAGGTGGGTGCTGGGAGGCAGGGAGCACATGGCACAAGGGCTGCCTCTGGCCCGAGAGAAGGGGGGCCACGGGGGAAGGGGACACGTGTGACCTTCCACGTGCTCCCTCTCACAGTTCAGCCATTCTCGCAGGTTCTGGGCATCGGTGGAGCCCTACTGTGCCGACCTCACCAACGAGGAGGTCAGAGTCCTGGAGGAGCTGCTCAAGCCGCCAGAGGATGAGGCTGAGCATTACAAGGTGAAAAACTCCTCAGCCCCTTCCTCTGCCCTCTCTCCCCATCCTCTCTGGCACCTCTCAGTGACTGTTCCTGCCTGGATGCTGCCGTGGCAGTGGTGAGGTGGGAGGCAGGGCAGAGGCTCCAGGAGCTGTGCTGAGCCTTGCTCTTGCAGATTCCACCATTAGGAAAGCATTACTCCCAGCGCTGGGCACAAGAGGACCTGCTGGAGGAGCAGAAGGATGGAGCCCGGGCAGCAGCTGCTGCTGACAAGAAGAAAGGTGTCCTGGGGCCGCTGACTGAGCTGGACACTAAAGGTGCCCCAATCCCACCCCTGCCTTTGCCCAGAGGGGCTGGGAGTGCTTGTGCCCAGTGGAGCCAAGCCCAAGAAAGGCTGAGGTTGCCCTGCCCCACTGCTCATCTCTGTGTCTTTGGCATTGCTTTTTTTCCTCTCCCACTTCCTCCCAGATGTCGATGCCCTCCTGAAGAAGTCGGAAGCCCAGCACGAGCAGCCAGAGGATGGGTGTCCCTTTGGTCCCCTGACACAGCGTCTCCTGCAGGCCCTCGTGGAGGTGAGGGGGGCACTGTGCCACGGGGGCCTGGCACTGCAGGGCATTGCTGCCAAAACCCAGCACTGTAACCCTTCCCTCTTGCTCCCTTCGCCAGGAGAACATCATCTCCCCTGTTGAGGACTCCCCCATCCCTGAGATCACTGGCAAGGACTCGGGAGCTGACGGTGCTGGCACATCTCCCCGCAGCCAGAACAAGCCCTTCAGGTGAGCAGGGCCCCGAGCTCAGCACTGCCCGTGGTGCAGCGAGCCCGCTGCTGGCTCCCTGCCGCGGGGAGCCACGGGCGCGCGGTGGGCAGCAGCCGCTCTCCACCCTGGCAGTGTCCCCCACACCAAGTCCCTGGAGGGGCGGATCAAGGAGGAGCTGGTGGCCCAGGGCCTGCTGGAGTCAGAGGACCGCCCGGCTGAGGACTCGGAGGACGAGGTGCTGGCCGAGCTGCGCAAGAGGCAGGCGGAGCTGAAGGCGCTCAGCGCGCACAACCGCACCAAGAAGCACGAGCTGCTGCGGTGAGGGCGAGCGGGCGGGCTGGGTGCGGGCAGGGGGCTGCCTGGCAGGGCCTGACACCCCCTGTGCCCCCCAGGCTGGCCAAGGAGGAGCTGCACCGGCAGGAGCTGCGGCAGCGCGTGCGCATGGCTGACAACGAGGTGATGGATGCCTTCCGCAAGATCATGGCTGCCCGGCAGAAGAAGCGCACGCCCACCAAGAAGGAGAAGGACCAGGCCTGGAAGACCCTGAAGGAGCGGGAGAGCATCCTCAAGCTGCTGGATGGGTAGCAGGGACCAAGGACGCCCCCACTCTGTGTGGACCTCACCCGCAGGGGGCTGCCCTGCCTGAGCCCTGCCACCACGGGATGGAACTGGCACAGCCTCCCCCACACCCTGAGTCTGCTCAGCCTCTACTCGGATGGAGGAGCCCAGCTGCTGTCCCCTCCCTGTGTAGGGCTGTCACTGACCCAAGCTGGGCACCCCTGGAGTTGCGGACCCCCTCCCTTGAAGACCCCCACCCCGGCTGGTGGCTTCCGCTCCCGTGTTCCCCCTGCACTCCCCTGTTACTCGGGTGACACCAGCCAGG